GAGAGAGAGAGAGAGCAAGCCCTTGGGTGCCACAAATAGCATTGGGGACGTTTGTGTGATTAAATACATGGAGCTATTAGCATGTCAATTTTGAATTACATAAATAAATTAATATCAAGTAAGTAATGCTCCAAAGGAGCTTTTTTAAAATACTGACCTACTTGTCCATCACTGCAATAAACATATTTGTATTGTAAAACATTTATTTGTAGTTAAATTGTACAAATACAAGTCTCATATTTTGCAAAACTGGAACTTGTGCTTGTGAAGAAAGATGCTATTTTAAAGCTGCCTTCAATATTCCTAATACACTGAATAGACTATTTGTTAGGCTGGTTGATGGGTGCCATATATCATTGGATATAATCTCCAACATGATCTGTGTTTGAAATAACAGAGAATTCCAAGGATTATGACCTTTTCCTCTTCTATTTTGTCTTTGAATTATGAGGTGTGACTACAGGTCCATTGAAGTAATTGGAAAGCCATCTTTTCACATAAAGGAGTTTCTGGATCAGCCTGTTTCTCCTAGAGCATCCCAAAGAACCTTTCTTTTACTCACCTGCTTGTTCCAGCTACTGTTCAGCTCTGGGGACAAATTTCAGCTCACTCTTTATGTTCTGAATCTCTGACAAGTTGACAGCAGGCCCTGGAAGTTTCTTAGCTCCTGGGATATGCTTCTTGTCTTTCTCCTCCTCTGTCAAAGCAGGAACATTCTGCACAAAGGGATACCAGTGACCTTACTGTTGCAATAGTAATCTCTTGAGCATGAGCATAGGTCAGTCATTTAAGAAACAGGAAAGGATGTTTTTGTACTAAAGGCAATCCCAGTGGAAATTAGGGAGAGAGCCAGGGCAGGAAGAGATAGGTTATTTTGTTGGTTGTCTAAAATGTCTGAAAACATTCTAGAAAGAATAGAAGGTGTTCAGTGTAGAGGAATGTGGATCTTTTGGTAAATGGGTAAGAATTTACAGTGTCAGATCATTAGTGGAAAATAACTGAGTGGAGTGTTAAAGGCAATTCTAATTCCTTCATATTTGGTGGGAGGGGGAAAGCAGAAGAAACATTTTTATCATCTAATTTCTTTGAAAGTTTCATTGTTGCCAGACAGTTGGAGAGAAAAACCATCATGCACTTGTGCAGCTCTGGAGAAGAGCTATGATAGTAGGTTATGGACCCTAAAAGCTCCATGCAAGCTCAGCATGAGTTGAAGTTTTATTTTTCTGACCTCAGTTGCAAGACCAGAAGGGGTTTTGTCATTTTACGTTTGAATTAGGGTAGTGCCTGATGGCTATTTTGCTGACACTGTATAAATACAGGTTAAACAACAGCACTTACACAGTAGTGAGCAACTCAGCTTATTTCCTGATGGACCACAGTATTTCAGCCCTCAGCTGTCCTATTGCTTCTAGGTGAGTAGAGCATGTGTTTCAGACAATTTCTATTCTAGAATGAGAAATATTTTGTAGTAGTAGTTTTCCAATTGAAGGTTGCTCCAGTCTGGTGTACATTTCATGAAGCTGGAATACAGGGGGAATCATGGAGGCTAAGAGATTAATTAATATTTTACTGCAAATAATTTCATGATGAAATTATTTTTTTTTATTACTCTGTGAATGTCCTCTTGAGATGGGCTTTTTGGAGTGGGATCACTGCTTAGATTTATCAGCCACTGTTTTTGAAAAGGTGTATTGACTGCAAACAGTCAGTTCTTAATATTTGACTTAATTTTTACAATTCCAAAGTTAGCTGTCAAATATTATTGGCCAGTTAACCCCCTCTACTTCTGCTGACTAGTGGTCTATATGCTAATCAGGAAGAAGATTTTCTCCAATGTTAAGTAGCAAATAAACAAGGTATTCTAGAAAAGTGACATTTTCTTCCTATCTGATCTTTACGAACTTTCTTAAGATCACTATATATAAAAACATGAAGAAACAATTATATTGCTTGGCTTGGTAAACTTGTATTATCTTTTCTCACTTTGTAGCCATTAGTTAATACAAGATAATACTAACTAATAATATCTTACTATTGTTTCTGCTTAATCATTTCAAATCCCAGCCAGTAATTCAGCCACAACTTCTATCTATAGTGTCTGGTATCTAATTTAATGATCTAACATCCTGAAACAGTAGCAAAACACAGCAGGATAATAAGCAAATTGATACAGAAGCTGTTTGGAAGGATGCACAAAATTGTATTAGCAGTCAAAGATGCCGTGAGCTTGTATTATTTCCTTTGACAGTTTTCTTGCACAGCTATGTAATCTGAATAATCAGAGGAAACTACCATTCCCTCAACCTCTTAGTTCTTATTAGCATAGCAGAAACTATGTTTAAAATACCATTTCAAGTCATGTGCAATAGCATTCCTCTCAAAGAAGAAATGGTGCAAACTTTGACCATGTTTTAAAGAATTGGCAGTCCATAAATTGCTGTCAGATTTCTCTTCTAACTTCATGTGTGTGTTATTTATGACTGCATCCCTCCCTAGATCACCCACTCCATGAGCAATCCACACTTGAGATTAGACTTTGGCCTTCAGTTTTATGGAAGCCTGAAAAGTGACTTAAATATACAACAAACTTAGATATACAAGAGTTAATGAATGCAAGCATAGAAATGCTCTGACTGAAGAAGAGTTATTTTCTGAGACTTCCACCCTCCATTTCTTTCCACATTAACATTTCCCTCCACTGACCTTCAAAAACACCCATTTCTATCTGACTGCAACATCCCTTTGAGTAAGGCCCATATTTCCCTCATCTCCTTTGCCAAGGCTTTAAACTATAGTGAAAAATACTAAGCACTGTTAGCAAAAGTTGTATTTGTCTAAAACTGCTCTGAAAAATCATGAGTTGTATTGCAAAACATAACAAGATGAGAAAACTGGAAAGACAAGTCTGGTGGTAGCATTTTTATTTATAAAAATATTATACT